ATTCCCTGAAATTTTCAATCTCCAAGATGCTCATTTTATTCTTTAAGTCAATCACTTCCCTTCTTCCTCTGCCTTTCAACTTCTCTTTTGTGTGTCCATGTACGTGTGACCACACACTGCACTAATATGCAAATTCTTAGAGAACATACCTTGAGAAAACCATGAGGTAAGGCCTCTGCTCCTTGGGATTATGGTATATACAAAGGTCGACCTTTCAAACCGAAATTTCTCAGGTGAATGTTGTGAAAATGTTAATGAACCAGAATAGAAATATTTATCAGGACCATGTTGATTTCAAGAAAACTGTGGTAGCCAGACAGGATTCTGATTGGCACCCTGCTTCTCAGGCTCACTGCTTTGGGTCAGACTGCCGGATGGAGTGCCTCAGAGTTGAGATCATAGGGCTTTCAGGCTCCTCAGACAAATTTGGAGAGTCTTCTAGAAGAGTTTGGGATTTGGCAGCCGAACCACTAGCCTTTCTACTAAGAAGAAACCTCATCCCAGTGATGAAAAACATTATGATTTCAGTAGTGCCAGAATTTCACCCCAGACAGGCTCACAGAATGCCATTTAAGTTGCTGACCTTTCAGCCAGGGATGGAAAATACTATATGAGTGCAACAGACCACGGTTTAACATTTAACTGAGGATGGAATGTGGACCCCTATAATCCTATATAATGTACTACCCTCAAACTGTCAAAATGCAAAGAAACTCCCCTAGGTTGGAAGAGACGCTCTAACAATTAAAATACTGCTCTCTGTCAGGGTAAAGCTTGCGTTTAGAGCAGTCCCTGCAATCCCTTCACTGCCAAACAAATAGATATAAAGTTAAAATCCCCAATCTCCCAGTTTCTACTCCTCCACATTCAGACAAGCTTCTCTTCCTAATAACCCACCCTGAGGACATGAGTGATGGAGGACAAATCCATGAAGTTATCCTTTATCAGGCCTTCCAACAAGGAGCAGGACAAAAACATGAAGTTATCCTTTATCAGGCCTTCCAAAAAGGAGGCAACTGCCTCCGGGCCAGGCGATTCAAAGGCCCCCAGCCACCACTGCTTCTACTGCGGCAGCGGCGGTGGCCGGAGCCCCAGGACCTTTTAAATTGCCACCAGAGCACCGCACAACACTCTCCAGTCAGCGCATAGGACTTGAGAACTGGGGAGGGGGTGGGGAGGTACACGCCATGCTGTGGTCAGCACTGTGGGATGCCTCTCCTGGTTCAGCCCCTTCCAACTGCGGCCCTGCCCCTTTCAGGAGCGTGAAGCCAGTCCCCACAGTGCCTAGGGACCCACAGTGTCTGTCGGCTCCCTTACCTTTTATAGGCGTAGTCCCATGTCCACCAGGATAAAGAAAGAGGGGGACACATACAACCTGTTTTGTATATCAATACATGGCTAGACATTTTACAGGGATGCAGAACATTTCTTCTCTGGCATGTTTTTAGTGCAAGCTCAAATGTGTGAACAGTTACCAGGATGTGCAGACCCTACTGAGTACAGCTTTCTCCTCTTACATTTAACCTTATAGCTTCCCTGTGGCTAAATGCTTTTTCAATATTAAAATCAACCACTAAGAAGTTTCTCCCTCCTCCCAGCATGTTAAATTCCTTTTTCCAGTTTATGACTCTGTACAGTTATTGTTCAGCAATTTCAGATTGCTGTTTCCTTCTTCTAAGACTATTAGAAATGCAGCTTCACACTTCATGGAAGGCAACACAATCAAATTACATTTTATTTCTACATAAATAACAAAACAATTAAACACACACACAAACTGTTCCTTAAAATGTTATTGTAGCAAGAAAAGCAACTGTGTAAAACTGGTGTCATTGCCAACATATTGGCTCCCTTTATGTATCTCTGAATCACATCTGTTTCCTTTAGTGACAAAATGAAATGCTGTTTTTATTACTGTTAGCACTGCAGAGCCAACACTGGTATGGAAGACTGAGTTGGATGCTATTTTGCTTCACATATCATTAATAAATGTGCCAGCTTGGTTCTGAACATTGAACTTTTGTTACTGGTGATGCAGAAGAAATACATTTCATTGTCCAAGTCCAAGTTCAGTTTGAAGAGTGGCAGTTGTTAAAACTGTTTTGGTTTGTAAACAGAACAATTTTGATATGAAAGCAACTGTGAAAAACAACACAATAATACAATTATATATCCCCCTTTCATTCAAGAATCTCACAGCACTCGACACACATGAAATCATTCAAGCCTTCTAATCTCGGGGGCCATGTCTACAGCACAGATAAGACAGATGCAGCTTCAGTTGATCTTCCAGGGTTCGAATTAGTGGGCCTAGTGAAGACACACTAATTCGAACTGCCAGGGTGCCCCTGTCAATGCCAGTAGTCGTGCTTCTACAAGAATTAAGGGAAGTTGAAGGGAGAGTGTTCTCCCTTCAACTTCCTACAGTGTGGATGGTGCCAAATTTGAGTTAAGATACTTGGACTTAAGCTACACAATTAATTTAGTTGAAGTTGCATATCTTAATTTGAATTTATCCCCTAGTGTATACCAGGCCTGGATAAGATGAGTCTCCAATTATGGATGGAGACCATGCGACACAAATGGTAAAGTTGAAATTTTCAAAAGAATGAAGGGGATTTAGCCACATGTCCTCCAGAAATATTCAGCCAACATGCTTATCCCACAATCCCAACCTGCTTCCCACATCTTCTCCCAGCTCCAAACCCTGCTTTCACCGAGCATCTGGTGTTCCCAGACAACCTCTGCAATGCAGTTACGTATTGTCAATCACGACATTTGCAGCAGAGTGAAAATGTCAGAGAGTGGAAATGCATTAGATTTAAATTCAAACCAAATAATGGTGGAGCTGATTTCATTATTAATTTTCAAAGTTAAGCCAATAAAACTCTCCATCATCTATTCCAGATGAAGCTGCCATGGAATTTCCAGTTTGCCACACCGGTGTGTTGTGAAATCCAGGAACCATGGCCGAGAATAGAATTTAGATCCATCATGCAACAGTGTGGCTAGGTCTTTATGTATTGAAGAATAATCTGTGGGACTAAAGCCTTGTTTAAATTTAGGATTAATCCTGATGAAGCCATTGGGGGTCAGTGACAGTTTAGTTGCACTGGTGCATACCTCAACTGTAGACAAGGAAAGTCACGACACGTATTAGAGGAGGTTACACTCATTTCAATGGGTGCAAATCACAAGTTTCCTTGTCTATGCATTGGTGCAATGACAGCAGTTACAGGCCAGGGATGGCTGAATCCCAAGCAGTGATAGGCCTGATTGTTGGCTGTGTTATGGAAGATCTTGTGTTTTCCAATGTAACTTTGCAGAGCTCAATATCTGACCAGCCTTGATTTGGGAGAACTATTGCTTCCCCCCCCCCCTCAACCCCCCAACTTCATTGAGATCTTCAGCCTTTCATTTCTGGTAATTCCGAATGTTGAGATTATTTATTTTTTCTACCCCCAGTGGCTGAAAAAGTGCATGCTGAAGAGTTAAAGGCTTTTCACAGCTGGATGCTTCTTAGCTGCTTAGCAGAAACACTAACAACCTTCTGCTAACCAGAAATGCCCACCAGTTTTAAAGATGCCTGTGCTCATTAAAAGCAAGGGACAAGCAGCTCCTTGAAAGCAATGAGCAAAAAGCAGCAGAGTTCTACCATATCTAAAGTATGCCTGGTTCTCCTTTGAAACAATCTGAGCAATTAACCCTATAGGGTGAAATCCTGTTCTTGCATACACAAATTTTCCCCCGGAGTGGAAACGATGTGTTTCAACTTTGTTTTTATTGTTTGCATTGTTACTTCTTTAAACCAGGGTCTCTTTTTTCTTTATTATTTTTCTCTGTGAATTCATTTAGGAGCCTAGTGATTCTCCGGTTCAATTAACTAGCTTTTTGGGCATTGATGCACTGGATGTTGTGACAGGCAAGTGAGGATCCAGGGACCTTGAATGGTTTGTTTCGGGAGCTATTAATCATTGTAACAATGGAAATATGTCTGTAGATGGAAATATGTCTGCAAATATGGGTGTCTTACATGGGCTATAACGGGCTATTCCACAAGGAGTACAGCTAGTTCAGATTAGAAGCCTAATCCAAACTAGCTACTCTGTGCCGCGTGTAGCCGCGCGGCACGGGGTTCGAACTAGCCAGCATTTAAAAATGGCGCCGGCCGGCTTCATGCAAATGAAGCCCGGGAAATTCAAATCCTAGTTTGAACTAGCGGGGTAGTGTAGACATACCCATGGGAAGCAGTGGGGAGACAGCTGCTATTCAGAAGAGGCCAGAGATTTGAATCCAATACAGGAAACATGAGCTTTTGCGTAACCATTTATACCTGGGCAGAGTGGGAATCCAAATCAACACTGTCCACTCACAGATCCACTGTGCACAGGTGTAAACGGCAACCCAAGAGGCAAGGCAGTGGAGATGCAGGCCATGCTTCTTAAGGGGCCTGGCAGAGGCAAGGAGCTAGCTTCATGAAGTCCCAAATGAAATTGTTTGCCTTGTACATCCACTTCTCACAGGATGCTCTACTTCTAGCTCTGGCCAGCTTAGGGAAGGAGTAGTATTCAGCCCTCCTTGGTCAGAAAGGATACAATAGCCTGCTATGGGACTTCTGAGGGTGATAAAAGACCTTGTGTATACTGGGGATGTGCCCTGATTATACTAGTGGAACTGCATCAGTTTAATCCCTGAGCCTAGGTGAGGCAAAACTGTTCCTTGCACTAATTGAACTCACACATGCTTGAAACAAGTGAAAATGTAACCAGTGCTAATAGGAGCTTGGCCTATTGTGCTAGCCACTGCAGGGGTGCCTGTTGACAGCTGCAATCAGGACAAGTCCTCAATCTAGACAAGGTCAAAGTGTGGAAAATGAGGGAGGATTTCAAACAACCCCTTCCCACACCTGAATTTATATAAGCCTTTCAGATAACGATATTTACATGTATTAAGTAAATCCTCACAGTTTCATTCAGTGGGAAAGTATTATAGTTCCTTACCTCCCCTTGTCTATTTCCTTGCCCCATCCCTTCATTCCAGATAGGATAGGATAGACCTGCACTTCTCTTCAGCTGTACCTATGCAACCACTGGTCTTCTCTTGACAGCCACTTTCACTTCATGCTTCAGGAGACAGGACCCTGCACCCTCATTCGTCTGTGTCATAGGGAGGAAGGCAAATATTTCAGCAGAGTCTGGATTCCTTTGCTGTCTCATGGAGCAAGGAGCACTGTGTAGGAATGAATAATGATAATAGCCCATGTAGGGTCATTCTGGGGTCACTTGCCTATCCATTGCCCTTTCCTGGCTGCATTATTATTATTTGCATGACAATAGCACCCAGCAGCCACAATCAGGATCAAAGCAGTCTTGCGCTGGGGACACACATATTGAAAGGCAGTCTTTGGCTTAAAGGACTTACCATCTAAACTGAGCCACAGTATCATTTGTTTGCCGTGTTAGTTGTGGCAATACTCAGTACCAAGCAATAAGCCAGCAGCTCTCTGACAACAGCCTTACTTTACCAAGCACGTGACTAGATTGTGCTCCAACACAGCTGTATAAGGGAGTAGTCAGGTTTCCTCACCTCTTATGTGGCCACGTGAGATTTGTACACAGCCTCATCCTCAGGGAGGAGGAACTGTGCCTCACAGACAGTGTTCGGGTGCACAATGTTTCTCAGGATCAGTGCACTACCATATCAAACCTTACTCAAGGCTGTTCCCAAGGCACAATGTAACCCTAAACAAAAATAGAAAGATAAAAGAATTTGGCCAACAAGGTTAATGCTGGCATTTAAATAGGTCTTATGAATGGCGCCAGTGATAATGGGGCTGTGAACAGTAGAAGGGTAGTAAATTATCTACCCACTAAATCACAACCCTCCTGGATTTAGAGAAAGCACTATAATCTTCCTAGAGTTTTCATCCTCATCCTCTACCTGACACCATCATGACCTTTTTCTTGTTCTAATCTATTTGGTTCTATTCCAGTCAGATTTTTATACCCTACTCATCAACATAGTAGCAGAGCATCTTCCAGGAATGCATTAAGCAATGTCACTACACTTCTGTCATATGTTATTTGTTCTCAGATCCTCTTTCCAGAGGGAGAAGTGCGTGCAGTGGAGTGTCTTGTTAGTGTGTGTATATATAATGGACCTGTGGCTATGTGATATTAGAGACGGTCAAAGGTCAAAGCAATGTGCCTTGTATTTAAGGCAGAAAGTGGGAAGCTTTGTGATGGGCCTTGGTAATTGGAGGAGTTCATTCCACACTCTTGAACTGCCTCCAGAGAAAGTTCTGTCTTTGCAGAGGTGAGCTTTATTTGTACGGATGAAAGTTTCCCTGTGCCACAGGAGGTCTGACCCACAACTCTCTCTGCTTCTTTTGCACTGATCTGCAGCACAACAAAAATGGAGACCAGCCTCATCTCCTTGGCTGTTGACTCCACCATATGCATGGGAATTCACAGAAAATGTCAAAAGTGTGGTTGCTACGTCATGGTCCCTACAAATTGCTCTGCAATGGGTGTATCCCAGATAAGAGGGCCAGCGACAGAGCATAGCCAGTTGTGGTAAGAGGAGGGCCTGACACAAAGCCCATGTAGCACAGGCCTGATCTGAGGCCTGAGGCCTAGCTAACAACGAACAAAACTTGGCTAACATAAAGCAAATCTAAGCTGTGAGCAAGAGGCAGGCCCTGCCCACAGAACTTGGCATGAACAGGGCCGAGAGTGCAAAACACTCATTGGTAAAAGGCCCAAGTGTAGAACAGTAATTGGTACTGAGCATAAGTTGAAAGCACATTCCAAAAAGATGGTACCACCAGCTCATTAAAAAGGACCTTGGTACCCACACTCCCCACAGATACAGACCAAGGTCCAGGAAAGGGTCTAAACTGACAGCATGATGGATAGTGATGTCCTAATTGAACTACGAGGTGCAGTGTGATGGGTGGTATCAAAGTAGCATCAGTGGGTGGCAACCTGACAGGTCAGGAGTAACGTGTAACTTGTTTGTACCTGTATATAAAGTGATGTGCTGGAGGGGACAGTCTTTGTCCATCCTAGGGGGCAGTGGGACCTCCCATTGACTGAGCTGATCCATTGTTATGGGTATATGTGCGCAGTGGTTCGGTAGAATCTACTGACAACTGTTACTGCACTTAACAATAAACCCGGGTGCCTTTGATCCTTATCTGATTTGTAGTTTTGGGGGGCTCTCTCAGAGTCTGCTGTGTTGACTAATTGCACAAGCCAACACAGCACACATCATCGAGCGTACACGCACGCAGCCTTCTGGTTATCATCACTGACAGAGCAGGACACCTGTCAAGGCACCATGACAATAACTCCTGACCTACTACATCAGTGTGTGCTATGTTCCAGTTATTCCCAGCAGGTGGATGGTCATTTGGAGACCATTACTAATTGGCAGAACTTACATCAATGTATATTCTCTTCTATGCAAGATTCTTGTTTTGCTCTCATCACCGTAGTCTCAGACCAGCTTCCAGGAGTGCATTAAGCAATATGAGTGACTGTCATGAGTAGTTTTTTTTTTCTTTCATCCTCTCCCCAGTAGAAAAGTTTTGTTTTCTATGTATATGTGGCTATGTGTCAGAGAAGACAGGCTGAAAAATTGCCCTTTATACTTGGAGTGGAAGTTGGTGAATTTCATGACGAGCCTTTTTTCCTGGAGAAGTTCATTCCATAGTCTGAGCCTGGCCCCTGAGAACTCAGTCTCTTGCACCAGCAAGCTTTACCCTTGTTATAGAGTTTTCCATTGTACCAGAGGAGCAAAGTGGTTTCCCATGATCCTCAGTCTACTGCTTTAGATGGCTTTTACATCTCCTGAGTTGACACCATTGAGCATGTTGGTGAGAGAACCAAGCCCTTGAACTTGACTCCATATTTTGTGGAAAGCCATTGTAGAATGAGAGGACAGGTCTGATATGCTCTGATGACACATGCTACTGAGAAAACCTGTCCCTGAGTGCTGATGAGTTCATATCTAGGATAGAAGTGGAGTCAACGCAATACTGGCTTCGGCATCAGAGACACATAACTAGCTTCTTGGAATACCTGCCTTTTACTGTGCAAAGAAGCTAGTAAAGAATCTGTCCCTATAAGCACTGTATAAAGTTTATGAAATTTATCAGATTTTTGCCATCTGAATCATGTTGGAACTATACATATATATTGTGTGGCTAATCTCTGCTTAACTATTCTCTCTGCATCCTGTCTGGGCTCACAATAATATTTTTTTTCTGATTTATATTCCATCCTCTTAAATATTTAAAATTGATCTAATTTTCTTCCACTGTTTACTAAGCAGATATAGCATGTTTAATTAAAAGGGATATTTTCAACTAGTATTTACAATCCTTTCCCTCTAAAATAATCTTGCAAATGTAAGTTAAAACAGATTAAAACCCCACAGGTATTAAATTTAAAATAAATATTTCAAACTCTTCCCAAGTATGAAGCAGAACACTTTGATATTTCTGATCAAAGGTAAAAGACTTTGTGAAAACTCCAAACCTCTTTCTCTATGGTTTTAGCCTTTTCTTCCTCTAGTACTTTTATGTTGTCAAAAATTGGTAACCTGGTCCTAATAACAATATTTTTCACTTACTGTGAACACAGCTATCGTCTTAGGGACAGTTAACATAAATTTGGCTAACTACTTAGGGTGATATATTTCAGAGTGAACTATGCATGGAGAATAAATGCCAAGGTTATACTATGCGATACCACTGCTTGAAATAAATGAGATGAAAAATACTAAACCATTCCAAAAATTAAGCCTTTCTGTGTTCAGAAATTATCTGTGGACAGACTTACATTTTTAATACTTTGATCATTTTTGTTGACTGACAATGACACAAGAATTCATGAAAATTTCACCATTAAATGGCAGAAGAATCCAGCCCTTAATAAACTTTTTGACCTTAAACAAGATGCAAGTTGTTCCATACAAGCAGACCTCTATGCTCATCCATTTATTATGATACCGGGCTGAAGGGGGGGGGGGTGTGTGTGTCTATGTAGGCCCACGGGATCTGTGCACATGCCACAACTTGAAGGATCAGGGTTAGCATGTGGGTTGATTGCAATTTGTTTAGTGATAACTTTGTAACTGGTCACCAGAGTCACATAGTACTTTTTCTGCTCCAATGATCACAACTATTGTACAAGAAGAGAAGGGAAATAAAAAAAAATTCAGGATGGCTGCCTGAACATGTCTGGTATGAACTTTTGTCTAAATATAAATCTGTGCAATTATCTGTTAGAATTTCTCCCCTTTTTAGAATATTAGTGAAATGAAAAAATCAAACCAAATCATTTTCAGAAATGCTTATGAAAAAGTGGTTGTGAATACTGCTTAAGGGATGTTCTATGCTTATATGAACAAATTTTTATTCCTTTCAATGCATATCTCTTCTACTGCAGATATATTTAAAACTGTTTTCACTCTGCATTTTTTATATTTTGACATATGGAGTCCGACCTTTGGCCATCACATTTGTGCCCTATCTCCAGCAGTGCTCAGTACTTGACGCTTAAGAGAAGGCAAAAGAAACAAACAACACAAAGCAAATAACCCTTCCCCCTAGCATTATGTACCTTCTAAATTGTGCAATTCTATTCAAGGGAAGTAAAAAATCCCTTCTGACTCCTGTAGTGATCAGCATGATGCATGAGCTTTGATCAGGCTTATCTTAGTCTGCATAACTATAAATGTTATTGGTCAAAAGTCCTTATTTAAACCTAGAAGTAGCAGCATTTACTTCTATAGCCTCCTGTGGTTGTGAATTCCACAGGTTGACACATAACTAGGGAGCCATGTGAAATTCTCTCTCTCTCTCCCCCCATTTCCCTTTTCCTTGTTTCTAGGAGTAGGAGATAGAGGGTAGATTGGTTTGGGTTCTTATTTTGTTTTTGTTTTTGTTTTGTTTTCTTTTCTTTTGAGGGGCAAGAGTTGGCTAGAAAGAGTTGCAAACATACAACAAAAAAACAGTGGGACTGTGCTTAACAAACCTGTTTTTAAAGC